CATCCATCTGGCCCATCAAGACTCACTCTCATGTCATCAGACCAAAACACCTTGGAGAAATCAGTCTGCAGATATTTCTTGGCCCAATCTTGACGTTTTGTCTTGTGCGTCTTGTTCAAAGGTGGCCTTTTTTCAGCTTTCCTTACCTTGGCCAGGTCCCTGAGTATTGAGCACCTTGTGCTTCTCAGCACTCCAGACATGTTGCAGTTCTGAAATATGGCCCAACTGCTGGCTAAGCTTCACGCTTGTTCCCTTTTAATGCATGGGGAGTTACTTTGCGTCTTCTTTTTTCCAACACGCTTATTGCACCCCTGTTGGCTATTTGCCATGAACCACTTGACTGAGCGATGATCCTGCTTCAAGAGCTTAGCAATTTCCAAACTGCTGCACCCCTCTGAAAGACATTTGACAATTTTTGACTTTTCAGAATCTGTCAAATCTCTTTTCTGACCCATTTTGCCAAAGGAAAGGAAGTTGCCTAATAATAAAGCACACCTTATATAGGGTGGTGATGTCATTAGGCCACACCCCTTCTCATTACAGAGCTGCACACCACCTGATTTACTTAATTTGTAGTTGGCTTTCAAGCCTATACAGCTTGGAGTAGGACAACATGTATGAAAAGGATGATGTGGTCGAAACACTCATTTGCGCACAGGGTATTCATATATTTTTTAATTGTGAAAGATAAATCTTTAATCCTTAATGACGAGTAAAGCTGTTTCATTCATCGTCGGGTTGGTGAAGTATTTCTGCCCTAGGGTGCAAAAATCTTCACCCATAGACTCTGGCTAAAAGTTGTCCATGAACAGTGGCTAATGCTTTATTCTGCTTTCCCTGCCTCCTTTTTCAAAGGTCAGGATCTGACCCATCATGGATTAGGACAGCTATGACTGATTTAAAGTACTTTGCAGAACACTTTAGATTGTTGTATTTTGTTGTTGGCATTCATGTAAATATATGCTGGTGAAGATTCTTGAAAAAGCTCCCTGGATGGAAAGCGAAACATCTCTGAACTTGGAATGACACGTAAATATAATGACGTGATACTTTAGTCTACATCTGATTGGTTTTTGGTTTATGTCTATTTTGAAGTTGTGACTTCATTTTCTAGGAACACTGATGCTTACTTATTATGTCTTCTAGATTTTAACCACCTCCCGATTCAGGAATCGTAAGGTCGGGAAAAATCTAAATGTTTGAAGTTCAGTCGGCCGTTGTAAGGTGGTCATGAGCAAATCGCTCAGTTCGCAAACAAGGATTTTTCTTCTTCTTCTCAGACAAAAACACAGCAGCATGGCGGGGGTGTGAGTGAAATGGAGTTCTTTCTGTAAAACTGACAGACCGTAGTAGCCATGTTTGCTCAGCCATGTCTTTGTCCAAATACCTCGTCTCCTTTTCTTTTTAGGGCTTTCAGCACAAACCTGCACACATTGCCAAGGCAGCACGTTTCACTCTAGTGAGCTTCATATTTAACAAGTGGCATCAACACTTCCGTCTTTTTCCTCTTCTACTCGTTTGGTTTCGAGATAGATGAATCCAAGCAGCGCCATGTCACTGCGGATCTGAGTCCGGAGTGGTTTTCAGATGTACAGTGTGAGCAGCTGGATTGCATCAGAGCATCAGGTCACACAGTGTGAGAACATACATAGTGAGCTGTTAACTCGCACTGTACAAGGAAACCCTGGGGTTTCGCCATACAGTGCGAGCTGTAGCTAGGTGCAAAGACTGAAAATATCACATAGTGTATGCTTTAGACAACTTTTAACTAGGGATTAAAGTCTGTTACAGTCAGTGTTAGAGGATACAGAAGAACCAAACATACCTGATATCTGACAAATGAAAGTTTTCACACAGTTCCCTCTTCAATCGGTTGAGCTCCTCTCTCCGTGGAAGACTAGCATTATGTTTCTTTGTTGCCTCGGGTTCACTGTTTCTAAGCCAGCGGCTGAAAGAGAGACAACAGAATGAAAGGATGCTAAAAAAAAAAAACAGACAATTTTCTTTGCTTTGATTAGACTATTGTAGAGGAAAACAAAATGTATCTAAATGTTTTTCTAACAAAAAAGAAATGTGTCCTATACAGAAAATATACATTTGGTTTCAAAATATCTATCCTGTAGATTTAACCCATATATAGAAGCTAGGATGAGTGTTACTTACTGGAGCGTGGGCTCGACTTGCCTGGCCTCCTGCAGCTCCTGCTCTGGATCTCGGAAACCAGTGAAGGTGTAGTAGGTTTTATCCCATTTGATTGGTCTATAAATAGGTACCCCTGCATTCGGCAGACCTTTAGGTGTTCCAAAACCTTCTTTAAGTTCCTTCATGTGCTCCACGGGCAAGCTGCAGGACGTCAGGATGTTTGTCACAGTGCTCAGAACATCATTAGTCTGCAGCATGAACGTCACAGACCGGAAACCTGGAAAATACAGGTATAAAGCTTCAGCAACTATAACGAGTCAAGTAAAGCCCCCCTAGGGCCTGATCTGCAAAGCTTCCTTTTTAGTAGTTGGAATAAGTCAGCGTGTAGCAAGTGATCTAAAAAAAATGCTGCGCAAATGATCAGATGACATACCAGTCCCCATTAAACTGTGATCCTGGAGTCCTGCTACTGTTAGATGTTTCCCTAAATACCTGAATCAAACAGCTTAACTGCTGCAGCAGCAGCAGCCCAGCTCGGCTCATGAGCTCTGATTGGAAGCAGATGTGGAAGCAGAATACACATCTAAAAGTTGCACGACACTGAGGCCGCTTTCATAAAAGAAAGATGAGGTTCTAAGCCATGTAGTTGGAAGGTATGACAAAAATGATATAAATAAAAAACAATAGTTATAATAATAGATCATATTTATGGAGCATTTTACATAGGTAGCCTATAGCTCTAAGTAATAACATTCAATTTTGTACTTTGTTGAACTGAGGGAGAAAAAAAATACCTGTTGCAAGGAGTAAGAGATGCGCACTTTGACCCCTCCACATGTCTCTTTGCAGGCTCATTATATTTTTTGTTTTTCTAATAAACATAGTAATAAAATTTTACTTCATCCATTTTCTTTGTTTTTGTCAATTGTATAGATTGTCTGTCATCCTGCTGCATTAATGTATGCTCATCGGAGTAGGCATTTTTTTTATCCATTATAAAACTATTGTTTTTTTTTCTGATGGTCAAAATATATTTATATGCACACGGTGTATCTGGCATTGGTGCAATGCCAGATATTTTTTTCATGTCGGTGTGTATGTGTCTTTCAGAAATACTAAGATGCAAAAATGATAGGTTCAGTTTTGGAGAAATTACTTTATACATCTTAATGACCTTTATAATATCATTTGCATATTGACTGAGGCAAAAATGGTTTGTGGTTAATTACTCTGCTGAACTACAATCGCAAATCACTTTGCACCTTCTTCAAAGTTCTGCTCTGCACGTACAAACATATTTGCACCTGTTTTAAGCCACATAAACCTTCTAAAGATCAGGCCCTTTGAGTGGAGGTCTTCAACAGCGGGTCTGCGACCCCTAGGGGGAACCTGGAGGTACTGCATGGGGGTCACCAAAGTTTTGGTTGATTAGACTTTTTTTTCTATATTCCTCCCTGCAATTTTTCCACTAATTCAAATGTCTTTAAATCCACATTATCATGAATTCAACAGACTGTAGTAAACAGATAAATGGAGGCAGAAGATGTCTTTCAGTCATCAATGCTCACATTCAGCGACACA